AAGGTTCTCTGTATTAAAACGACAGTATTGTGTTTTTTTGTGTGTGCTGAGACAAAAAGGTGAACCCTTACTCCTTATAGACGTCCACAAAGTGCTCCGTGTGCGTCAGCAGGGGAAGGGAAGTGACATCGCGACCCTGCACATCATGCAGGAAGTAGCTGAGTGACGTGGAGTGTCGACCGATCAGGACGCTCAGACGACCAAAACTCTCGCAGAGAGAGAAGAAGAGGTGAGTGCACGACTCCCCTAACGACGGAGACACACTCTCTGTGGAGGATGAGCGCTGCACTACACACGCACTACACCACGCATCACACACTGCACACACCCACACGCACATCACACCCACGTCAACACACACCACACCACACACACACACACAAAGTTGAAGTATGCATGTATTGAATGTATTATTTTACAGATAATTTGTTGTATTTTCAGCACAGATTTCTTGCATTTGCCAATATTTCATATGTTATTTACATTTGAGACGTATTTAAAACCACCGATACTGAGGTGGAAATGTAGAAAATATGAGTAAATACCGCCACAGCAGTTGGTGCTAATCAACACCTTTAGACCCTCTCACCTCTGGTTCGCAGCGGCGTGAGGAGGAGCTTCCTGACCCTGCTCAACCAGCAGTAGAACTGTCTCTCTCTGGAGGCCAGCTCGTGGATAGCGGAGATAAAACCCATGACGTTCTGGTCTGCCAACAGCGCACAGCTCTGACCACCGCTGCTCACACTGCTAATGTAACCCATCTATACTCACACACACACACACACACAGTTAATGTTGTCTCCCTTTCTTCAATATATGTATGTTAGAAATAGCAGCTGTAGATTCCTGCCAATAATAACAGACATATATAACTTTAAAAGGGTATTTTCTTTGTACTTTAACCACACTGAACTATGAGTAATATGTAAAAATAAACTCATCATCACAACAAACAGCTGTGTTTTGTAACCTCTATGCAGAAGGGCAGCAGGGCGGGTCTGACGGTGTAACTCTCTGCTCTGTTGGGTGACCTCTGGCAGGACTTTCGACTCTGCGTTGACCTCTCGCTCTGCGCTGATGACACCGACTCTTGCTGCTGGCCGCAGTACAACAGGACCGGCTGGACGCAGTCTCCATCAGCGAGGAGGAGGGAGTGGCTCTGACCAGCCGACAAATCCCAAACCCGCAGGCCGTCAGACAGCTACGGAGGCCCAGCAGGGACAAATCACAGGCGATGTCGATCAGTTAGTGTGACAATAACATTATATATGTAATAACATCCATACCTTTTATATTCATATGTGCTTGAGTATGTTTTACAGTCTGATCTTTACCCACCTAATAATGACGCCTACATCTTCATTTATAATTATCAGTCAGACATTAATTTATTTACTAGAAGAAATAAGCATTAATTTACAGCAATACTATAAATTAGTTGAGTGAACCAACCTTCGCCTGTTGTGGTACAGTGACAGGACTGTTGACGTGTCCGAGCTGCCCACACATGTTGCTGCCCCACGAGTACACCTGCAAAACACAAGATATAAGTAATAAGTACTTCTATGTTTGTGAGGACCAATTCGACCTTTAGAGGGTGAAAGTGACGGCCTTTTAGGTCAGTCTTTACTTCTTTAAAACGCTGTCTGAGACAGTTTAAAGCTTAAGGTTTCAGTTCACTGTGTGTGTGTGTGTGTTACCTGGCAGTGAGCGGTGATAGCCAGTGAATGGTGTGACCCCGCCGCGACTTGGATCACCTCCTCGCCTGTCAAAGGCTTGATGCACAGAGGCTGCAGTCTGGACACACACACAGAAACAG